TTTCTCTGTATCCCCCGAAAGATCGTGCTCGATTTTTGGAAATTTAGACGAGGATTAGAGTTACGATGGGAAAACAACAAAGTACGTGACACTCTTCTATCTTCGAATTGAAGACAAATATTTTTGAGATATGGTTATCTCTATGAGAAAAATTGTTACATGTGGAAAATTGGATAACAGAAGAAAAAATTATATTTGTGCTATCAAAGAATTATCTTACATTAAGAGAAATGTTTTGCCATTATTTTGTTGATATGTGTGACTATAACAAAACTTTTTTACTTTTTTTTACATAAATACTGCGAGTTGTTCTAATTAAACTTGTTGTGGCCTAAGTAAAATTTGATTAAAATATAATCAAATTTTGATCAGAATAATATACAATTTTAATTATTCTAATCTACGCTTAGGGCAATACAATTTTTTAATGAAAAAGTAAGAACGCTTTAATCACATATTAAAATAATTGATAAGTACCAAGACATTTCTTTCGGAGTAGCTATAAATTTTTTGTTCTAAAAAGAGCATCTATTGTTAATGGATTAATTTTTCAGAGATATAATAAAAAATATATAACACATATAATATATATATATATATATCTGTACCGATAGATTTCGTATAATCTTAAATTAAAATAATATAATTTAGAATAACAAAATGGTATGATTTTGATGAAAACTCGGCCGAGTTAATTTTTGCCTTTGAAGATCACTTACGAGAAAAGCCTATGGACTGCTTTTCTACGTATTATATTTCACGTTTAAATCAGACTCCACATATCTTTTCAAAAGATATGCAAAGCAATGTAAACGAGAACTGCGCACTCTTTCTGCGCTATAAAAAAGTAAAAAGAGTGGAAAAAGGATTGGAAAACGCGAGTTTTTGCACTTCCTCCACTTCCCCTCTGTTCGTATCATCATTAGTGTTTCATTACGATTTGATTTGCATCGTTTGTCGCGTAATGCTATACCGGGGTATTGGATGCGCGAATAATCCTCGCGAAGGCATGTTTTTATGATCCAGCTTGATGAGACGGTCCCACTCATCCCACTGGTGAGGCTCAAGATGAAGAAGCTGCGGGGATTCCCTCCTCCCCCCTCCCGCACTTGTACCTTCCTCGGCTCATCTCACGCTCGCCATGGCGTGCGATGCGTATGTACGTATTGCCGTGTTTAGTAGGTCACACCGATACGCGTTGGTGTTAGTGAGAGAATATCGTGGCAGCGCGTACCAGCGTATCAGCGCGCGCGCGCGCGAGACGTTATCGTACTCCTGGCTGTGGGTCCGGCCACCTTGGTAGTACCTTGATCTTGATCTTGACTCTGGGCAAGGTCCGCCTCGCAAGCAGACGCCGCTGGGAGAACGCGGACGGTCGCGTCTCGTTTTCGCGTAAATATTCGCCGGCATGCGCGGAATATACGCGGTCGCGGCCCGAGAGATCACATGCGCGGCGTTTATCTCTTCTCTCTTTTTAATACGGCTTCTGTCTGTGGGCTTAATTAAAAGGCGCGCCTAATTTGTGTTGAAAGAATCCTAAAGGAGAGCGAAAGGAAAGTCGAAAGATTTTACGATTTGACTAAATGGGCTGCGTTAAATAATAAATACTGATGAAAACGCTGCAAAGGCAGCTGGAACTTCTCTATAACGCGCGCGCGATAAATAAGATTCAATTATTATTTTTTTATAAAAATATGAGAGCATAAAATAATATTTATAACCACGCGCGAGTTGAATTAAAATTACTGATATAATAACAAGTTCAAACTCTTTATATTTTTGTCGTCTGTCTTTCTTATTAAATACGTTATTTTTTTTAATTCTATTATTGTATAATAAATCAAATTCTGTGGCATCTCGTATTGACTATTTTTGCTATAAAATTCTATTAAATTATTGATTATGGAAAAAAATGTAATTAACTATAAGTTATTAACTAAATAATATAAAATGCACATGCATAGCTTTTATGTTAATTAATTTATACATTTTACGAATCTGAAAGAGTCAATGACCTAATTTAGATTTTTCTAATTATTTTTTAATCATCTGTCTCGTGTAGAAATAACTGTGTAAATAAAACTGACGTCATCTCTTGCACACAATCAAATCATACCAGAAAATTTATGTATATGAAGAAAAGAGCTAAGTAACACATAAAAAAAATTCTGTTATCATTATCCTTCATATATATATATATATATATATATACGGACTTATTTCATCTCAATTGTGGATTCAGTGGGAAATCTAAAGTTGCTTTCTTTATAGTGAAAATTTAATCAGGTCATATTACTATTGTTCAATTTTTATATCTACACCAAACATCTTGCTTATTATTTAATATCGCATGGAATATTCTAAAATTTATTTATATGAATAAATCATTCTCTAATATTATATATACATGAGAAAAATTTTACATTTTTAATTCTGTAGCTTAATGTATGAAACAGAAATGAAAATTTTTTTCTAATTACAAGGCTTTAATCCAAATAAATACAAAAAATAAATGTACACGAAGTATATACGAAAAATTAAATAGGTATTTTTATATTCGTGTATATTTATTTTTTATAGAAATAAAAATGTGTTTATATATGTATATGTTTAAAAATAGATATAATTTTTATAAATATATGTATAGATTTTATAAATATATATATATATATATATATATGCACACATTTTTTATTCTAAAAAAATATATGAAAATGGCGAAAAATAGATCAAAATAGATTAGAAACATCGAATGTTTCTAATCGTCTGATCTTAATATTGATAATAAGATGACCTTTAAAAATCACGATTTGCATTTCTGTCGTCGAGATATCGACACACGATATCCGTAATTATTGGTTGACTCGTTCTGATTATGAACTGTCTCAGATGCAATGCAATTTTATACACGAGAGATAATTCCGAGGTTCATGGGTCAGGAAACAGGAAGATACAGATTAGAAAACTCCGATCTTTCGAGTTTTCCTTTATTTTATTGGTACCTCTCTCTCTTTCATACACAACGATCGTCGCGATACAGACTCCGGCCGCAATCTGGCACAAAATGCATCTCGGGTTTCGCATCGACGGCGAAATCCTCGATGGGTATGATTGATTCGGAATATTTATCTTGATGCCTAATCGATGACGTGAGCTATATTATACGCGAATCGTAATCGATAACGTGTACTATTACTGAACATCATCGTTACCGATAACGTATATTGTATAGTATTATTGAAGATCAGCCTGCAAAGAAATGTTTGATTTTTCGATTTTTGTTATGATAACGTATAGGCTGAAAATAATAATGTGTAACGTATTATTGTCGCGTAAAGTACATTTAACTACGCATTAAATTGTTTCTTCTCGTGATAATCGATCGATAAAGAAAAGGAAAGACAATATTTATTTATGATTTAACAAATTACCGCGGATCTTGATAATAGAGCATAGATAAATGATGGATACGTCGCGTTTTGGATACGATATATATATATATATATATCTGGAATATATATATATATATATATACACGTTTACATTTAAATAAACTTAATAACTTGTCGCATTAAAGCGATGAACCTGGACTAATAATCGGACAAACATTATTGAATGTCCTGAATACCGACGAATAGATATGAATTCGCATTTTAGAATAATCTTCGATTGTTCTCAGGATAGTTTGGAAATGTTGGAATGTTGCATAAAATATTGAATAAAAGAACGCAATAAAAACCACAATCATATTCTACAATGTCTATTCATTTGTTGCGTTCTTACTCGTAATAACAATATTACGAGCAACAATGAATCGTCGATTTCTACTTCGCGAAAAATTATATTTACAAGCGTGGTCACTTAATTACCTACTTAATTAAACCGCTTCCGATTTACGACATCTCTTATTTCACAAAATCCAAACTTAACTTCGTCACTAGTAATTCGTTTATTGAACAATATTAACATTATAATCAACAAGACACGATGCAGTGTCGATTCCTTATGGTTCAATAAATGTCCCTTTAATCTTCAAAATAGACTTCCGTATTCAAATATTGATTTCAGAAGTCTAATACCAACAAGATGAAAAATCATATTGTTAAATTAGCCACTTAATTTTCTTAGAAAAATTATATTTCTGCGAGTTGATTTTACTCCATTTCTAACGATTGCACATATTGTTTGATAAAGCCTATTCTATATCAGAGTATTTTTAATTTCCGACTACATCTCTGTAATAGTAGATATGAACATCAAAGATAGCATCAGGATTTTTATATTTGCTTGTACATATTTGTATATATAATACATATCATGTATATATAATATGTAAGCAATTGAATATATTTTCCTTGTCAACTTCTATAGTCGTAACAAACTACACACTTCGCTTTGCGCGAAACAATAATGTGTATTTTAGTTATAGTTGATTTGAAGAATAATTAGTGGAAATTATTATTACAATTAAATGAAGTTCATTTTATGTATCAAATTTAATTTAGCTAAACGGCTTTTTAATTGATATTAATGTATTGTCAATTTTAATATATTCTTCAGCGAGGTCGTCGCGATCCTTAAGCATAAGAAACTGATAAATTAAAGAGACACAAGAAATCAACTATGTCTCTTAGAATGTGCTTAAATCAAATTTCGACAATGGATGTGTTTATTCAACTCGGTGATAATATTCTGATTTACATTCAAAGATTCATGCGGAACTTTTCAAAGTCTAGCAAATCATTTGAACAATATTTTAATTGTTGCTTCGATATTATTCAGATAGATTTTTTAAATATAACTTTGACACGGAATTTAAATGCATTTGTTATCAAATCTATCTATTTTCTATTATGAACATTATGAGCAAGGAAAACGACTTCATAATAAATATTTGCAATAAAATCCTATGTTTGTTTGCTCTAAAAACAAAACAATTTATACAATTTAATAAATCTATTAATCAGGCACGTTTTAGCTTGAATATTAATTTTGCGCTCTTATTTGTAAACTCGGTTTTATGAAAGATGAATTTTGCGCTCTTATTTGTAAACTCGGTTTAATGAAAGATGATTATATTTTTGATGATTTGTGATGACTTAATGATAGATAAATATTTTCACACAATAATTAATTTCCGTTCAATTTGTAATATAAAATCGGAAAAATATTCAACTCGAAAGGGACGTTTTAAACCATGACACCGCGTTGTGCCAACAATTGCTTCCTTTGGTGAAGACTTGGCGAATCCACGGTAATCTCATCATTCTTCACACTATCAAATGACTTGGAGGTTTTAAAATTATTTAATACGTTCAAGCAATTGTTGCTTGTCATCTCGAAAGATTTGGAATTTCTTAGTGACGCGCTAGCTAACTTTCTGATAGTATCTGAGATAGGATATTTAAAGTCTATTCTTTCCCTTTCTCTCTCCTTGATCCTTTGATTATCATTGACTACCAGTAAGGAATCTCCCTTCTCCGTTTTTCTTTCCTCTTGCTTATCTAACATAGAATCCTCATGTTTGGTCCTCTGATTCTCATTCCCATCTGTTCTACACGTCGACTCCAATTTGTCCTCTCTTTTATTCGTAAATGACTCTAATAGCGGATGCTCGCTCTCTTCTTCTTCTTTCTTGTCGTCTTGACCTAGTAAAGACTTTGGTGGTGCTTCCACGTAACCACTCTCATCGCTATCGGCCTCCTCGTCGAGAGAATCCAGAGTTAGGAACGAAGTCTCCTCATTTTGCAAAAAATCGTGACTTATTCTACTAGGATACTTCTCGTTCGCTCGCCTTTCCCTCTTCTGTGGATCCTCAATCCTGTTCATCATCTCTCCCCTTGGTCGATAATCCACCACGTCGTCGAGAAGGATCTCGAGAGCGACATCCTCGAAATCAAACATATTCGAAGCGGTGTCTTCCATTTCCTCTTCTTCTTCCTCCATCGATTCTTCTTCCTCGCTCCTTAAAGGAAACCTCTTCATAGGATTTATGGGATTGAAACGGGGACTACCCGCGCATGTCATGAAATGTGGCGAACCTTCTGAATTTCTTCGTGGTCCTGGTCTCCTGCCGACTCGGTCTTCCGAGAAGATAACCCTTTTGATCGACCCTTGCTGGTCGTTTTGATCTAGAAAATGTATTTTAAAGGTAAGCAATTTATCAAGAAGTGACATTATAACTCTATGTATCAAGCATTAATTAGTATGACTTATCAAGCAACTGCTCTTTTCGATATAGTGTTATGCAAATTTCATTATATAAAAAACTTTACCCTCTAAAAAACTTTACGAAGATAGAGATATTAATTAAAACATTATCAAAAATAGATACAATAAAAAAAAATCAATTATATATTCTTATCTTTAAATCTGAAATTTAAAACTGAAATATTAATGACGTTAAGAGAATATAGTTCGCTATTTTTGTAACAACAAAGAACTTTAAAAAACTTGCGCTAACCAGAATAAATTACACGTGTAATTTATCCACCTCAATTATATCATACGGTAAGACAAAAAGAGGCCTTATCTCACAATTTCATTACTTTATATAAGCAAGTATTTTGCATAATAAAAAATTTGAAAAAATTTAAAGATACCGTTTACGACGTTTACGTCACCAAAAAACATGTAGTTCAACATCCAAAAAGGCATGTTTAAAAAGTTTTAAAAAAGTCGAGACTGCTTCAAATTTTAGATTGCTTGATACGGTCAATCGTAAGTAAACAATTATACTAACTCTGAGCAAGATGTTCCTCCTGGCCAGTGGCTCTTTCCTCGCTGGTCGCCGTGCTCGCGGTTTCACATCCACTGGAGATGCTACCGTTTTCGTCGGATTCGCGATTGAGAGCGTCCAGTAGTCTGGCTATCCTCCAGCTGTCCTGGTCTTCCCAGCTACGTGCTACGTTCTCCAAGGAACGCAATTCCTCCAGTAGCCTCTTCTGCTCTATCTCCTCGGCTACTGTGTCCTCCTCGATCGCTGATAATTTAGGTGCGCTCTTCGACCTTTCCAAGGGCGGCCGATAATTCTGCCCACCGGTACTCAGAAGAAGTTTCCTACGTGGCAACGACGGATTGTCGTATAACGCGTTTGCCAAAGACAATCTGTAACAATTTATGTAAACTATGTTAATTCAAATTATAACAATATACAAACAATATCACATTTTTACAAATTTCGTATTAAATATTATAAGTAGATTAAAATTAATCTATGTTACATTGGTAGAAAGACATTAGTAAGGAAAAGATTTTTAATATTATTTTTCCTATAATTATACAATTTATTTACGAGACATTACTTCTTGCTAATTTTTATATTTAGAGAGAATCGTAAAATTTTTATTTATAAAAAATTACAAATATTTATTAATTAAAAATAAATTAAAATTCTAATTAATTAACTAATAAAATTGTCCAACTTAATAACTTAATAAACTCTGTTCCTTCCTGGTCAAAAAGAATTCTTGCAAGATAATGCGATAAAGAAAGTAGCGAATTAGATGTATTAGCGCGATTTCGAAAGGAGTGTTCAAATATAGGTGTTTTCTATTTAGTGACACAAGCATCATTCTATCTTTCTTAACATTCAGACATGACTAATAAAGATAGAATGATATTTGTGTCGACTTGTATGACTAAATGGAAAGCACCCTACAATGTTTGACCTGCGACTTGAAAACACTGACCCGAATGTACATTGTCAAGTGGCGATCGCTTCCCGTCCTCGATCGTGACTGGATCGTGTACATAACCATCTACAATTGTGACCAGAATCATGACTTCCACAGCACATGCACGGGCATGCGTAACTTCGCATGCCTCTCAAAGAATGAAGATGAGAGAAATTTCTCTTTTCTCCTGATTAAAACAGGAAGAGGCAAACACCTGCATGGGCCACGTAACGACGATATAACGCATGAAGGACGATAAAAATGCGAAGAATGCGCAATTGGAATGCGCGAATGCAATGTCGGTTGCTGCCCGACATTGAAATGAGCCTAACGGAAACTCGGAGAATTCTACGATTGAGAAATTGTGCCGCGTACGATTAATCGTAGCTGGTTCAGTTTTAATGAGCTACTAAGAACCAAGCAAATAGCATCATAAAGATATGTATTTAGATAATTAAGTAATTAAAATCGATAAGACAAAAAGAGGTTCAAGTATTTTCTAACAACCTGGCATATCGGATAAACAGTGTAATGCGAATGTACATGTAATGTGTGTTCTATTAATTCTCTTCTAATGCAATTCTAATACCCAATAATACTGAACAATATCTCACTAATCCCACCGTAATACTCCCTAAATCTCATTAATTGTTTGCCGAGAGCTTAGAGGATTTTCATTAATAATTTTCGCTAATATATATCATGATCCCGCAAATTCCGTGACTTCCGTTTGTGTTGTTTAAGATTTGCAATCCTTATTTTGTTTCTAAATTATTTAAATAAATCTTTATAGCAAATCAATAAGAGCGCCATTGAAATAACATCGCTTTCCATAACTCGCTTAGATCTCAGTTTACTTTTGTGGCATGATACCGCTGCTCTCACCTGGCGTTTTGCCTGGAGACCTTGTCTCGGCGGAATTCCATGAGCGCCTGCTGCAGCCTGGCATTCAAGATCGAAGCGAGTCTTCTTGCGGTAGACTCTTTGCTGCACAGGGCTGCGTGACACCTTAATTCGGGCCTCAATCTGCGGCCTTCGTGTCGATATACCCAAACAAAGAGGCGTGGATGAGTGGCTGGCGCTGTGCAGTAAGTCACACGATGAGCCCAGTACTCAGTAAGGCCGTGGTCTTTAGTAGTCGCGGTCAGACCACCATTGGTTACCGTCAACCTCATGGAAACATCGGGTCTGTTGCTGCCTACGTAGTTCCGCCACAGGGTCGATACGGGCTTCTCGACGCAGCCTTCACCTGTCAAAGCGTGAAAAATTACTGTGAATTACTTTCAGAGGTTATTAAGGCTAGAATTATTGTTAGAATATGCTCCCTGGAGTTTAATGTTGCCGATCCCTTATGGAACGGTCTGTAATTTCAAGGAGTTTCAGAGAACTGTTCACAAAAGTATAATGTTATGCTATGCCGATGTCTCCACGCGGTGACTTTCTACGCTTCATTATGGACATTGACGCATAATCAGATGTTTAGAAATACCGCTTCTCACACGACAAGACGAAAGGTATGCCGCGCGATTCAGTGAAGTATGTCACTTTAGGACAGATCTTGCATGCACGCATACCTACGTATTATACCTGTTACAACATCCCAGAGCTATACGTTCGAGTACATAAAAGCGTCGGTATGTATGTACGGAGAGAGATAGCTTCGTTCTATGTTCTCCGGGGCATATCCTGACTTTCGATACAGTTCGATTCGCCGCTACGCGCCGTCTTGCCGCGTTACCAATTTAGAGATACAGGAAACGCAAGTACAGTTACTTAGAGCTCGAAAGCGAGCCGATCCAGCTGGCAAAATAGAGAAGCGACAAAGAGAGAGGAAGAAGGAGATAGAATGGTACAGGTTCAGGAGGAAAAGGAAAAACGAGAGAGAGAGAGAGAGAGAGAAAGATGGCAACTTGGGACAGGTAGGTGCACACTATAGTCTCTCGTTGCCCACAAAAAAAAAATCCAATTCTTAAAAACGCTTTGCTTATACTTGGAAGTGGTTTATTGCAAAAAAGAATATTTGATGCAAATTTAAGCAACATGTTTGCATTCAAATGCACGAGGTAGTAATAAATTAAATTCCGGTATATGAGTAGCTGAATGTTGTGGTGAAACAAGCTGATGTTTCTTCACGCTCATGGCAGCTGATTTCATCGTGGCGATTTTTGCGGTCGTCACTCAGAGCTACGAAGTTCTTTATAATTACAAATTGAGCTCATCTAATCCCACAGGCCATACAGAATGGATAAATTAATTCTATAAATGATTATGTATCAATGTCGCGGTTTTTTGCTACGTCCATCGAGATCGATAGTTAAAAGATAATCGCTGACCAAATGACAATTTCTTTGGGCAATAAAAAACTTCATGTATCTTAAGTAACATCTTAGATCGGTTATTATGCAAATAGCGCATTATACACGTATTATTTTAACGTCATTGCCATTGTATTTATGTATGATATGTGCAGGATGGTTCGATAACATTTCTGATGAGAGACATACGGAAAACGAAAAGCACAGAATGGCAAAAGTAACACTTAAGAAACTAGGAGATAAAAACTAACTGTAACATCAGGAATTTGATGGTCACATATTATAAATATTCTATTTTAAACTGAAAAAGTAGAATTATTGGGAATTCACGATAAACTGAATGTTTTGCAATTAAAAAACTATTTCTCGTAATGAATGAAACACTTCTTCGCTCATCTGATTAGTAGATCTGATTAGTAAATTAAAATTTTTATTATTTAAAAGAATTTATGAAGATTCAAAAATTATAGCTTGTCAATATGTATTATTAATTATAATCGCAATACAGATTTGAATACTTGAAAAATTATGTAATGAAATATCGAGTCCGACTCAACAGGGAATTATAAAGAGTACATATTTATTAGAAATCGACTCTGTTAAAATGTAAATGCGTCAAAAAAATAATTGAGTATGTTAAAAGAATTAAGAATGTAACATGGTTTATAGAAGCTCACAACTGTTATTATTAGGTAACAGATCTAACAAGATCTGTATCTTAATAAAGCGTTGAAGTTGTATTATGAGCTCTTAATATCTCTATGAATCTATGATCATTAGTGCGCGATCAAACAATTGCGAAATGTATGCAAGTGATAACTATGATTGCAAGAGAAAGCACATCTATAAATCAAAGGCGCTAAGGAACGTCATCGTTACAAACACTCTCTTGATAACTCTATAATCATAATATTTAGTATTTCTAATCCAACAATTACCGAATAATGTAAATGAGCTATATATCACCAAAGACAGTGTTCTATAGATCATGTTTAAATAGACGAATGAGTTGAATCAACATTCCTCACGAGACTAGTGTTAGATAAAGAAATGACGTGGTACTGAACACGTGTGTGTTTACTGAATCCCACGTGCACGAAGGAAGAATTGATAATCAGAAGCAAATGATTAAATATAAGGCACATGAATTTTAATTAATCGACTTCAAAGCGACGACGTGACAAATCGAACGTCTACCCAGGATCGGGCGTGTTCTCCTAGAATCCGATGATCCGTTATCTCGGGGAACACGCGAACTGTTTCCGATTGCTAGTATTTCATCATGTGATTCTTTAAATCGTATTATCAAATCCAGAAATTTATCAAGAAGGCCACTGCATTAGTTAGGCTACAAGCATTTTTTTAAAGATTAAATATGTGAAAAGATAAAATATTAAATTATTATTTAAACTATTACATTGAAAAAATATTTAATTATTATTATTTAATGTATAATTTATATTTTTTTAATTCATAAAACAATTTATTTAAAATTATTATATATCAACACAAAAAAATAATATAGTAGAATGTTCTTAAGGTAAAAAATATTTTTGCAATATTAAAATTATAATTAATATTTTAGAAATATTAACAATATACGTAACATTTTAGTATCAATATTTTTAGAAATAACTCTAAGGGAGTCATGGTCCCCATAGAGTTCCACCCCCCCTTCCACAGGGATCCGCTCGTGGCACATCGTTCGCAATATCTACGTGAATTTTCTCGCATTGAAAAGATCTTGTTTTCTCATAAAGGCGTGAATATCGAATCGTGAACGAGAATCGTCACGATTATACCGAATACCTCAGAGGAAAAATGCCGTGTCTCTATTTCCGAGTGCAGCGTTGAGAGAAAGCACATCTCTCTCCGTTGATCGAGATCCGCACCGCAATCGAACTGTGACCGGCTGACTCGGTGAAAAAAAGGCCGTCGAAAATAACATGCAAATAAACCACGGACAACAATGGTCTCGTTGTCTGCGTAATTTGCGTATAGGAAGCCTTATATATACACTCGTTGAATCAACATTTTATTCCGAGCGTGTCCGGAGAAAGCGCGCGGGGAGATTCGATAAGAGCGATCCTTCAGCAGGTGAAACGGCCATTGGCGTGCCGCAAAGTTCTTTTCCGTTACAACAATTTTTCAAACGAAAGGCTCGAGAGTAAAGAGGCGAGCCGACAAAACAATCTCGTTCCTCAATTATACTCAATTACAAAAGCAGATTCGATTTTAAATTCCAACTCTCACCATGCACAAAGTATTACATATATGTATGTATATTACATATATGTATATTTAATGTATTATACATGTAAATGTATTCTCGAAAATCTTTTCAGTAGAATCTAATTCCTAAAGAGTGATAAAGAGTTGAAAAAGAGTGGCTCTTTAAAGAGTTAGATTTTACTCCAAAAGTTCCAGAGGAATATATTATTATTGAATATTTATATCAAGTACCACTCCTATTAAACGTACAATAAAATTACACAGTTACAAAAAGCAACGCTTACTCAAAATTTTCATGTAAAAGCGACGTCCCTATTCACCAAACGTCTTCCAAATCTCTAAAAGATAGTAGAAGGTTAAACTGAGTTAGAAATTAAATCAGCAAAAATTCATTCCGAGAGACAGGAATATCGCAGCCATGACGATCTATGACGAGTTGTACGAATATTGCGATCGAATTATTGCGAACGGAAAAACAGACGGTCTGGAACGACGCGGAACGGGAAGCAATGGCGAGAGAGGGCCGTGCACCGTAATACGATCGGGTCGCCATTGCCACCAGACTGTGACACTCGGCGCGTTTTAACGTTCGATATTATTCAATTAGAGATAATGCCGCGACCGCTCGTTGATTTTCCCTTCGTTGTAGCTGCCACCATCGCGCGCACCGCGCTCACCTGCTCTTTTACGCGAGGATTTCGAGAAAACGCGCGTGCACACACCGCGGAACGCCGCGAAACTTTCCACCGAGAAAACACCGTTTGCATCGCATGACGAGAGCGAATGTCGCGTGCATTGTACGCGATCATATGATGAATAACGTTACATGAATGTGGAGTAAACGGTACAGTAACGGGGTCGCTTTATTAAGCAAGGAGAGTCGTTGTCGAGAAGACATTCTCGTGCAAGAGTCTTCGTGTATCATCCACTTCGCTGTGGTCGTGCTTGTGCATCAATCATAATTTACTTGCACTTAATTGTAAATCAACTCAAGAGCGATAGTGAATATTTCTAGTACGACAAATATTTAAGTTGTAAACAGCTGTGAGTTTCAATACTCAGCTGTGAGTTTCAATATAATACTTTGAAAGACCAGACGAGGTAAAAGTTGATGAATAAGATTCGAGTGTCTGACTTAGCTGTTTTGAAATGTAATAATGGGAACACAAAAAATACATATTACACTGACCTACATTATGTAAAAAGGAGATCGAGAAGCTCCTTCAAATATTCTCTTCAGTGATTTCAACTAAATGTGACGTAAAACAAGATATAGATACATTTGTGTCAGTACTAAAATATGTATAATAGCTAAAATTGTAATGTCTCTTTAATACTAAAACTGTTTATATATGTATATTTATATTTTTATTATAAATAAATATATAATATCTGCTATGTTTAATAAACAAAAAATAATAGAAAAAAATCTCTCGATAAAAAGAAATAAATTGATCAATTTAATCATTTACATAAGAATCTTGGAAAATCTCTGAAAACGTATTATAAATTTGATAAAAAATTATAAACTAGTTATTTTAATTGTTCTGATAAATTTTAATATTAAATATTATCAATATTTATTTCAAAGGGACTGAAAAAAAAAAGAATATTTATCGGAAAAAATATAATCTTATCTGTACATCGATTCATTAACAATAACAAAGAATGATAGTCGTATATGCTAATGTAGGTATATCAT